AAAAAAWTAGAAATTRTAGGTAAMATAAATAAAGGTGTCTCTGAAATGAATAAACAAACAAAAGCCATCAAGAGGCAGCTGCACTGTGCTCCTGCACGGATGATGATCTCCAGTCTGGGAGAGGCAAGACASGTCCATCAGGAGAGGAGTTTGCTGCACTCCAATGGCACAAAGAGCACATCACTGCACTCCTGAGAGGAGGAAAGGGCACTGCAGAGGAACCAGAGCAGCTCCASAAGGGAGGGATGGGCTGCAGGTGACCCCTGGCACAGTCCATGRCCATCCCTGCACAAATGCAGCCTCCAGCAGCTTCAGTTCCCAGGGCCTGGTGTGCCTCAACCACTGCCCTCAGCCCTTCTTTCCCAAATCTGGAATTAGGGTAAGATTTCTGGGCATCCAGCGTAACAGGATAAGTATTAAGTCCAGGATAGTGCTAAATTAGAGCCATAAGCTTTGGACTAGCCTGGAAAAGTGGCCAAAGGGAAGATCTATTGATACAGCTAACATCATAAACCAAGCATGGAACGGCCAGGGAAATGACAAGGAAAAGATTTAACATACTTCTGTCAGCAGAACCTGCTGGTACTTTTTTGAGGCTTTAGTTTTATAAAAAGCCATCAATAACTTACCTCATTCTCCAAAGCCACCTTTTATACATTACACACACACATACACAGACTATTAAAAATGCAAGAACACTGTCTGCAGGAAGGAGAGCTCGTGCTCTTGGATGAAAAGAAGAAACCAAAMCCAACTCCCAATTTACTTCTAGATGGCCTGGTACTGTCTTTTCAGATCTATTAAAACAAGCAGGAGAACTGTCCTGACAGGATTCTGCAAACAACTGCAGCATRTTATTTTTTTTTAGCTGGAAGGAGAGCACCCCCATCCCTGCTCATTCCCAGCACGGTGTTGACCTGCTGAAGGCTGCTGAGTGGAAAAAACTAACCCTGTGGAGGTGTGCCAAACCTCCTCCAACTTCACAAAGGGAGCACATTCACATSTGGGGGTTATGCTGTCTGCTGGCAAACAACATCAAAGCATGAACAAAACCCTCACTGCTCATCTGCCCACGCTGACTGCAATGGCATCCCATGACAAAAACACCAATCACTGACAGCAAGTGGGGATCACTCCATATTGTCTTTAAAATCTGCTCTTTTGCTTGCAGCACAAGCCCAAGAGAAGATTTTTCAAGGCCTGCAGAGTGYGTGACATGCTGTAGATTAAAATGTTTCAGTTAAATGCAAGGTGACATAATCAGCCATTTATTAGTGCAGTGTCTCTTGGCCTGGCAGGAGTTAAAACTTGATRRAACTGATTAACCCAGACTTCCCACRCTTCAGATTTTCTYTTAAGTATTTTTTTATTATTAAAGGAGCTGCCAGTGGGAATGTGRAACAAAACATGCATCGCCCTACTCCTTTCTTCCCAACTGTTTGCAGTATTTCTCTATCACAATTTACACTTCAATGATCTTGGCCCAGTCTATACTTAGGATTTTCAGGATTGTCTCTGAAGCCAGACCTGAGTCAGACACCAGGCTCTGGCTAAAGTTCCCCTCTGATGACATAATTCCAGCACTGACAACAGCAACTTTGAGGAGAAGTCTAACAAACACAGATGCACTAATGCTGCCAGGGTTACCAACTTGCTCAGGGTAAGTGACGTGGATTAAAATCCTGTTTTATGAAGGCTATTGCCACTTTGCTAACAGCACCTGAACATTTTTGATTGCACAAACCCATTTTGGGTTTTGGCCAATACTTGCTGTTAATATTTACATGTTCACAACTGACCACTACCTGATTCCAGCAGCAGCATCAACTCCCTCCCGTGTCACAGGATGAGCTCAGCTCAAGCATGACACTGACAGTGCAAAGGCTGTGCTTTCATCCATGCATGGCCACTGATTTCAGAGCTGGACTCTGGATCCTGGGGCTCCTTTCCAGCTCTGAATATTCAGAGGGTCTCTGATTTCTGACAGGCTGGAACAGACCCTGATCCTGCTTCCCTAATCCCACTGGGGGCCAGAACAGCCTGCAAAGCAGGAAAGTGCCTAAAATGCTTTCAGTTTCTTGGCAGGAGGGTGCAAAGCTGCCCTCCTCTYACAACTTACCGGTGGCTCACTCCCTGCTAATTCAGTTTTGATATGCTTTGTMTTTGCTTTTGAACCTGGTTCTTCAGCCAAGCCCTGTGCTGGTACCTTTTTTCTTTTTTTCCTTTTTCTGTCACAGAGCAGAGGATTACTAGTGCATAATGTCCCATCGACACACTGAGCTTGCTCCAGTCCACTCTCTTTGTTCTTTTSATCACTTTCTAGCAGTATTTTTTGGCTTTTAGAGGCACTGTCATTGTTTAAAGGAACTTCTGAATATATTTTTCCCTTCTCCTTTTTCTTAATCTTCTTTTTCTTCTTGCTGACTTCATTATTATCCTCGAAATTCTTCCTGCTTTTTTTTCCAGAAAGYTGTCCTTCCTCAAACTCGATTTCTTGCTGTGCTGGGAGATGCTTATCACRAATGCTGTGATTGCAGTCTTGCTTATCTTCACAGGCTGAGGACGAAACATCTTTGCTTCTCTTCTTCTTCTTCCTCTCTTTGATACTTTCTAAGTTTTCAATTTTGTCCTCTTCCTTTACGTTTGTCAATGTAAATTCCCAGAAATTATGTTTCTCCCTTTTTCTGAAATCACCTAATGCCATGGGGCTACCAGGAACTTGATGTGTGTTGTCCTCATTAYCTGCCAGTGATAAAGAGGAGTTGGATTTATCTTTCTTTTTCTTCTTCTTCTTTCTTCCAACACAATTCTCCCTACCATCCTGGGCATCATGTGTGTTGTAGTTTTCACCCATAAAAACTGCTTCTTGTGAAATRTATTTTTGGGGTTTTTCACAAACTTTTGCAGATGGCTTTTGTTCACTGTCMTGGATGTCCTCTAATGAAAAGCTCCCTTTCTTCTTTTTTTTCTTTGTTACCTCGCCATCTGATTCCAAATTCAAACCAGTATGCTTTCTCTTTTTTTTGGAAGAGAATTCATTTTTCTGAGTATCACCTGTGTGATGATTTGAAAGCTGCAAATCACTATTGTCAYTATCCTCCAAGGAGAAATCACACTGGACCTTTTTTTTCTTCTTTTTGAGTATTTTAATTTGTTCCTCTGATTGCTCTTGAAGTTCTAAATCCAGATGACCTTTTACATTCACAAAGCGTTCTAAATGAGCTTCTGTGAGTAATTCATAATCAACTTTCTTTTTCTTGCTTTTCTTCTTATTTTCTTTCCTTATCTTTGTCTTTTTCTCAAGATGGTCAATKTGTTCAGTATTAATGACAGTTTTAACATCTTCCTCAATTTTAATGASAGTCTTCACCTTTTTCTTTTTCTGTACAGGTTCCTCATGAATTTGTTTTCTCTTTTTCTTTGTTATCATTCTAAAAAAGGAAATGAACATGTTATTGAATTGCTTCACAGAAATGATGCAAGTCCTAATCTATTTGGTCTTTCTTATTCTGAAACCATTCCACATCCCCCATTGTCCCTTGCACACAATTTCAGTCTGCTTTCCATGACGGGGAGCCAGAACTCCATGGAGCCCAGAAAATACCATCTACTGGTGTGGGTTTTTGTGTTGTTCTTTAGTGTACCTTACCGTAGTTTGTTTGCAATTCTATCTTTTTGACAGTTGCAGAGCATGACGTTTTCACAGAAATACCTACCCTCTAAAATAATTTCCTAAATGGCAAAGCATAAACATGTRTCTATCTACATATGTATGGTTAGAGTGGTTTTCCAGATTTACCCAAGACTTTTCACTTATTTAACACGGACCACTTTACTGCCCATTCAGCATTACAAGATCCTTGCAAGGCACCCGAATTATTTCCTTAAAGCTGCTTCTATCGGCGATTTACCTTTGCTCCGTTTCTTTTCTTAGGACAATGGTGCCAATGACTCGGTTACAGCAAAGAAGCCTTTGGCTCCCACTCGCTGACGTTTCATTGACAAACTGAACTATTCCCGCGTGTTGTCCACGTTTTAATGAGCGATACACAAGATGGCATTAAGGCACGCTGCCAAATTCCTTTAAAGAACATCAAATCTCGAGCAGCCCCCTCT